CCTCCCTGTCCACACACACACCCACCACACACATCTACCCACCTCCCTGTCCACACACACACCCACCACACACATCTGCCCACCTCCCTGTCCACACACACATCCACCCACCTCCCTGTCCACACACACACCCACCACACACAACTGCCCACCTCCCTGTCCACACACACATCCACCCACCTCCCTGTCCACACACACACCCACCACACACATCTGCCCACCTCCCTGTTCACACACACATATCTACCACGCACGCATCTGCCCACCAATTCAAAGCTGTGCCTTAGTCACTGGCCCACCACTGTGAAGAGACACCATGACCACGGCAACTCTTATAAAAGAAACATTTAACTGGGACTGGCTTAGTTCAGAGGCTTAGTCCATTATCATCATGGCGGGGAATGTGGCAGCATACATAGAACTGGAGCAGTAGTTGAGAGCTACATCCTAATGTACTTGCACGCGTGTGCACACACACACACACACTCACACACACACACACAGAGACAGAGAGGAGAAGAAGAAGAGAAGAAAAGAAGAAGAGCAGGAGGAGGAGGAGGAAAGGATTCTAATCCTTCTCAAATAGCGCTACTCTTTGATGAATAAGCATTCAAATACATGAGCCCATGGGGCCCATTCTTATTCAAACCACCACAGTCTGCCCTCCCACCCACCCATCCACACACCTATCTTCTATCTACTCACTTTGTTTAGCCACCACCATATACTCAGCCATCCAGTCTGTCTATCTGTTGTTTACTGAGGACTATTTCTGTGTTAGGGACCGTAAACAATGCCAAGGACACTTTGGTAAGCAAAGAGACGTCCAGACTTCCCCTGGTGACTGTGGCTTTGTGAGCTGAACAGATGTTGCCAGGAAGCTACCCAGAGCAGCATGTGGTGGGAGGCGGGCTGACAAACTGAACTGAGAGTCCAGAAAAGGACTGGAATTAGGGTAGGCTGCCCTGAGCAGGAGGTACCAGGCAGAAACCTGGATGAGGGTCAGGAGTTAATGGACTTGCAGTGGAACCATGGGGTCTGGAAGGGGGGCAACCAGTGTGCCTGGGAGAGAGGCAGATGCAAAATGTCCCTGGGGCATTGCAGAGTCTGAAGGGAGGTTGGTGAGTTGAAGGCAGCAGCCATGCACTCAGGGAGGCCAGGAGAGGAAGGACAGGCCAGGCTCCCAGGAGGCTTTGTTTGAGGGGAAGTGGGAAGCAGGGCAGGAGAGCTGCAGCCAGCAGGCTACCCGACCCTGTCAGCTCTGCCTTGTCCTACAGGAGTCTGGAGCTGAGGTGTGGTGGCGGGCACTGAAAACCACAGTGTCAGGCAAATTGGAGGGAAAGTTAGGGGTATGATGTAGACCTGGACAGCAAGAAAACAAGGTGCCTGGGAAGAGTGGGAGCTTCGGCTGGAGTGAGTGGGGGGTGGACTGAGGCTCCCAGCGGATTTCTGACCTTCTCCCAGGAGACAAGCTCAGTCCAGGAGCATCAAACATCTTCCACACTTATCCCCAGAGGCGAGGCATGTCTGCAAGACAAGTGAATGTAACCCAAATAAGGAGTGGAATCACCAGGGTTACAGCCGCCACCAGAGAGCCTGTGTCTGAGTTGTGGTTAGTTTTGTCCAATGTAGAAATTATTCTGTTCGGCCACAGGCCTAAACCTGCATGTACCATGACAAGTGAGCAAAACCAGACATGAGGCAGAGCAGGAGCCAAGAGGCCTCCACATCCTCGGGAAACTCGCTCCTCAGAGACTGTCAAGCTCAGCTGTTGCCTCCACATCCTACAGAGGTCTTGACTCCCCTCTCTCTCTGACCTTGGAGCTAACCTATGGAGGGGCCAAGCAGACACTCTGCCCATAGTTATATGAGGATACCAAGAAGCAGAGAGTCCCTGGCTCACTCTGGCTGCTGTCCAAGTGCAGGTTCCCAGCTCCCTGACACCCACAGCGCTCCTCCCAAGTTAGTTGTATCATTACCCTGACTGGATAGAAGTCGGTAAAGGGCAGGATCACCCGGGCTCGTGATTTCAGGAGTTTGGTGCCTGGCTGTTTGACCCCAGGTGCTGGGAAGGACATCACCGTGGCAGGAGTTTGTGGCTCATGGCTGACAGGAAGCAACAGAGATTCAGCAGGAAGGAGCCTGGACGGGGCACACCCCTATGATCTGTGACCCCAAGTGACCTACTTCCTCCATCTAAGCTGCACCTTCCACAGTTCCACTAACTATATGTTCAAACTGGAGATCTATGGATGGATCAAACCTTCCTTGCAGCCTGAGCCCTGACTGTCACTTTCCAAAAGCCCTTCAGTGGCAAGCAACTCCCCAGTCGGCCTACTGTGGGAGACACTTCCCATTCAAACCACACTGCCATGCTTGGAATGTTTACCGGATCCAGGGGCAGCCCTGATTGCTCTGGGCTCTCCAGCGTGTGACATCAAGACCTCGACAATCACGGAGTCCCTGAACTGATGCCATGGAGTGACTCAACAGAGATGGGGCATTGGGAAGTTGTGACTCAGCAAACAGAGATGGGGCGTTGGGAAGTTGTGACTCAGCAAACAGAGATGGGGCGTTGGGAAGGGGTAAAAAGCAACTTATAAGGCACCATCATTGTCACAGAAGTTCTGATAGAGAGATCTGTGGGCTGAGGAAGAAGGGATTCTGGAAAGGTCCTCTTTATCTTGTTTTCTTTCTCACTAGTCTGCTGCTGACATCGGGCAAATTCAGGAGCTGCAGCTGCAGCTGGAAGAAGCCAAGAAGGAGAAGCAGAAGCTGCGGGAGCAGGTATGTGCTCAGAGCCGCCATGCTGTGGGAGATGGGAGGATCACCAGGTCATCTGCTCAACTTCAGTCATGTGCCAAGTGCATCGAGAAAGTCCTAGTGGAGAGAGACAGCTCCACACACTCCCGTCACAGTTGCCCGTTCCTGCCCCCAACACAGATGGCCCATGCACCATTCAGTGCTGGCTCCCCCCTCCTCCTCTCTCCCGCTCTGAGAAACTGATCCTAAGAAGAGAGGATGCCTGTGAGTCAGTCCCACACCCCTTTGGGAGCTCTTCCATAGGAGCCATGATTTCTCTAAACCTCAGTACCTAGCTGATTATTTTGAGCCACCAACTTCTCTAAGTCCTGCTGGAGCTGATGGGCATCCCTGTCAGAGTGGCCATGTCTCATAGCATGAGAGTGCCGAGTCCCAATGTGCACGCCTGTCGGAGTGGCCATGTCTCATTGCACACGGGGGCTGAGCCCTGATTCACATGCCATGCCCAGTCCCAACAAGCAGATCAAAGGGAAACGCAGCAGTATTGGCTGCTGGTCTCCTGATGAAAATGAGGAAACGGAAGCTCACGTGGGACGTGCCATACCCAGGCTCACACAAACAGAAAGCAGGCTGTCAGCTTGAGCTCCCAGCCTCCCTTGCTGTGTCTTCAGAGACAGGTGTTTCTCCCTAGCCAGCCTGGCCCTTTATCAGGCCCTTTAGCAGGGAAGAGAACAAAGAATGAAAGTTTTCCTTTTACCCAGAAGGCTCAGGGCTCGTCGCCTCTCGGCACCTGCTGCTGTGGGTCAGGGCTAGAGTGAGGTTGGCTGGTGCTGGCCCATGTGGACGGTCAACATGCAGCGGTGGAGCAGAGAACTGCTGTCAGGGTGGGACTCGGGTCAATGGTGCCAGTGGACTCCTCCATGTGCCCAGCTGCAGGTGGCACAGCTTCGGATCCAGCACCTGGAGCAGTCCACCGTGGACCGCGCCATTGTCAGCAGGCAGGAAGCTGTCATCTGTGACCTGGAGAACAAGACAGAGTTCCAGAAGGTGCAGATGAAGAGATTTGAGGTATTGAAGCCCCATGAGCCATTGGGAGCGGGGGCAGGGATTGTGGTGTGAGTCCCCATATCACTTGGTTCGCCTGCTTAGCTTGAGATGAATCTGACCACTCCATTCATTCTTGTCCTTCCCCTTTTCTTTTTTTCCTTTGTTCTTCTACCTATTTCCTGGAGCCACCATGCACCCATTCGTCCTCCTCCTCTGCCCACTCCTGCCAGCATCTTCAGCCCATTCCTCTCTTGCAGCCTGTTTTTACCCCGGCTTTCATCACCCCCTTCTCCTATCTCCTCCCCCTCTCCTTCCCTTCCCCTTTTCCTCCTCTTGCCTTCTTCAGCCCTAGGTTCCACTGCCCACCCCTGAGTCCTTGGGTACCACTCTCTCCATCTCTGTCTGTCTGCTCATCTTCTCATATACCTCAAATTCCTGTGGTCAGTTTCTTTCACATCTATGAAGCCATCTATGAAGCTCCATGTTGGTATGTACAGGACAGACATATGAGCACAAACACCCGCAGTACAGAGTATGCCATGACTGTACAGATGGAGCCTTCTAGCATGGAGAGCCCACTTGACTTCCAGGATGTCTGCAGTATAGCAAGACCCTTTGGGCTTGGATGGGGTTTAGCAAGGACACTGATATGAATCTTGAGTCATTAATTTCAGTGTGTGTTCACCTTTTCTGTGGACCAAGGACATGAAACATTTACATAAGTCACCTCCACTATCAAAATCCCCCCCCCATAGCACTCTATGCTTGACATTCAGCATCACTGTGCAGAGTGAGGAGTAAGGACAGCTTCACCACTGAGTGGGAATGACATCTGTCCTGCCCTCTCCCCACGGCCTGTGCTCTAGTTTCTCTGCAGCCCTCACCCCTTCACTACATGGTGTTAGGATGTGAAAGGCTGTGCCCCTCATCCTGCAGCTCTCCCATCCCAGAACATGTGGTCTTCTGTGGATAAACAGGAAAATTCTTGTTGACCTTGACCTTCATAGACTTTCCAGGTAGCTCCAGGTTGCAGAGGCTTCTAGACCCTGAAAATGCTGAGTACCATACTGGGTGGCTGCCTATGTCTGTGGAGTTGTTACTCAGTTCTAGCATGTAACATGAGGGCCTGCTTATTGGGGTTTCTGTCCTGCCCAGTTCTCACAGTCTTTAGGTCCCAAAGAAAATCACACAGAGAATCTGTATTAGTTATAAACTGATTGACCCATTAGCTCAGGCTTTGTATTAACTCTTATAACTTATATTAACCCATTATTCTTATCTATGTTAGTCACATGGCTCAGTATCTTTTTCAGTAGGGCAGAAACTTCTGCTTCTTCAGTGTTTGGACAGGACTGGGGAACAAGCTTCCTTCTTCCCAGAATTCTCCTGTTCTCATTGACCCACCTCTACTTCCTGTCTGGTTGTCCCGCCTATACTTCCTGCCTGGCTACTGGCCAATCAGCATTTATTTACAACATAATGGACAGAATACAGAATTGTTCTGCACCACTAGCACAGATGTCTGACAGTAGGAGAAGTAAAACCTGGTGGTAGAACCTGAAAGATTCCAGCCTGTAATCACTCTGTCACCATTATCCAAACATAAAGGAACCTGTGTCCCTGCTACGAAGGGTCACTGGAGACGCTGTGTGATGCCTCTTTCCCCTCTTCCACCCTGACAGTCTCTAAAATGGGGCCTAACATGGCGGCTCCCCTTTGGGTGACTGTCTCTGGCCCCGATTCTGTCACCGACCCCGACTCTGTCTCCTCCAACCATGACTCCCAGAACTCCCAGCGAAGCTTGAAATAGTCACATGACCCTTGCCTGTGTCAACACTTTGTCATTTGCCCACTGGCATTCCACAGATCCAGATTCCAGGTTTGCTGACTGCCTAATAGATGCAGATAACACTGAGGCCTTTCTAGTGTACAGGGGCCTGGATGCTTTTGTCTTCATCCCCTCATTAGGTCTCATGGGTTTCTGTCCCTGGGAAAGGCAGAGCTCTGAGGGTCAAGAGGAGTGACCTCACCCTCACCCAAGGCTCCCATTCAGAAAGCCAAAACTTTGGTTGTGTGGAGTACTAATCCAGCACCCCTCTCCCTCCCTCCCCGTTCTCTATCTCTCTCTCCCTCTCTCTTGGGTTTCCCTCCACTTCCTAGACCTTGGGAGGCATGGGGCCAAGGATTGTCAGGCCACCCTTCTGCAGCCCACTTTGGGCCAAATGCCTATCTTACTCTATTAGATCCTGACAGTGCTCTGGGACACAGACATGAGAGCCCCCACCCAATCGCCCACCCATGGTCCATACAGCAGGAAGAGTAGGGAAGAGGCAGGGTTTGAACCCAGAGCCTCTTGGAGGCAGATTCTCCATGTGTTTGTCCCATAGTCTCTCCAGATAGTTCTTATTTCAAAGTGAATTCTTATTTTGGGAGGGCAGATATCACAGGTCTTTTTTTAAATGTTGTTTTGATTTGAGTTTTTTTCTTTTCATTTCTTCCTCTTATTTTTGAAATTATTATATAATCACATGTTTTCCTCTTCCCTTTCCTTCCTCCAAGCTCTCCTATCTATCCCTTCTTTCTCTCTTTCAAATTCATGGCCTCTTTTTTATTGATTGTTTTACATGCCTATAGGTATGTACATAATACATATTCCTAAATATAGCCTGCTCTATCTGTTGTGTATGTTTTCAGGACTGACCATCTGATGCTGGGTAACCAGTCAGTGTTCTTCCCTGAGCAAAACTCAGAAACCACAATTTAAATTTTTTCCACTTGTATTGATTCCGTGGGAATTTCACATCGTGCATTCTGTTCCCGCTCGTCTTCCCCTCCTCCCGCATCCCCCCTCTGTCCTTGTAACCTTCCTCCTCCCAAACAAAAACAATTTTAAAAGAAAACCAAACAAAACAAAAATGACAAGAATCTTGCCATAGAGGCTGTAATATGGCCTGTCGAGACACAGTTTACCCCTTAGTCCATTCGTCTTTACCTGAAAGTGGTCTGGTCCGAGGCCTCTGGTTTCTGCTGCACTATTGATAATGCTCTCTCACTGGGCTCCTCTTGGATATCCAGTTCCGTGTCTTGAGGATCCTGTCCCCCGCCCCCATCTGTGAGTTTGTCCCCTTCACACGCTCCTACAGTTCAGAGATTCAGCGGATGTTGGAATGGGCCAACTCATAGCCCCAGTTCTAGGCCTGGCTGGCCAGCTCTCTAGTTCTCCCTCATGGTCACAGGTGAGCTCTCCAGCACTGCCTCAGCCAGCGCACCCAAATACAACCTGCAGCAGGAGTGGAGCCGGTTCTCCTGCTCTAGGGTCCTTAGATTCAGGTCCCCCCTCACTCAGATCTCCAGGGCCAGCTCTACTGTTTTGCCCAGGCAAGGTGTAGGGCTCTCTGAGAGGGTGGGATCAACTCTCCTGGCCTTCGGGCTGGCTCATCTGCAACCCTGGCAACAGGGTCTCTAGTGTATTGCCAGGCAGGGTGCAGGGCCTGTTTTCCTGGGTGCTCCTAGCTAGTGAGGGGCAGGGCTAGTTCTCTGGCTCTCAAGACCCCGAGGCCAGCTCTCTCCTGCCACAGGTCACAAGGGGTAGAAGAGGGAGGACATCTTTCCCTCACCCATGCCACCGCATGGCAGATGGGGGTGCACCAGCATTAGCTCTGTTGTTCTCATGCCCTCAGGGCCAGTCCACCTTCATCCCTGACAACAGCTCTAGTGTGCTGTCTGGACAGAAACCACATTTCTCAACCTGGATTACTTGGCACACACACGCAGAGGTCCAGCGAAGGAGTCTGTTCTTTTGAGACCTTGCTTCGGCCCTCTGGTTTCTTCAGGTGAGACCGACCAGGCCTTCTGCCCTTCCCAGGTCCTGGTAATCCGGCTTCGGAACAGCCTGATTAAGATGGGTGAGGAGCTGTCTCAGGCAGCCAAGTCGGAGGCCCAGCAGCGAGAAAACAGCCAATATTACCAGCGGCGCCTGGAGGAGCTAAAGGCGGAGATGCAGGAGCTGGTGCAGCGGGAGGAGGAGGCCAGCCGGCGCTGCATGGAGCTGGTGAGCATTTGGGCTGGAGTGGAAACTTCTTTTTGGTGGGTAGGGAAGCCTTCTTATTGGGAGACTCTAGGTTGCCCTCTTGGGCCTTTTGGGGAAGATTATCAAGGAGGGAGAAACAGAAGACATGGGCTGAGAGACAGCACTGTCATTGGCTGCAAAATCTTGAGGTGTACCCAAAGCCAACCGACGGTCTCCTGTGCTGCTGGGAGCATCTAGACTCAGGTCTGTGTTCTCTGCCTCGCATAGGCAATGCCAAGGACAGGGTGGCCTTGGGCAACGTAGAGGGAAACATGATATATTTAATGTCTGTCTTTCCTGGTGTCTCAGCACCCATCTCAGTGGTATGTAGAGTGGGGAAACTGAGACTTCAACTGCCACTTGTGGTAAATGTGGATCTATCTCTGGGCTTGGAGCAGAGACAGCAGATGTGGAGATGTGGAGGGTGGAAGAGGCTTCTAGAGACCCCTGTTCTGAGCACGAACAGTCTGCCTGTTCCTAGTGAAACGCTTCCTGTTTTCAGAGAGGAATCCTATGTCTGTGGTGAAGATGGGGAAACTGAGGCCCTGGGCTATCCCACATGCCAAAATGAGGCTCGGTGAAGGGACATGGGTCTGTATCTCTAGCCACGCTATTAGTCACGGGCATCTGAATCTCAAGCCATCCACGGCATGGACCATGCACATTTTTTAATTTGTTTTCTGCCTTGTGGGAATATCCTTCATCTTTTGATGTATTGTTCCAAGAACAGGTCTCTGTGGGATCACAGGGCACATGACAGCATTAGTCTTGGGACAGGCATATTGAAGTCTTCAGGGCTCTTACTCTGCAATGTGGGGGCAGCACCCCCATTTGTCTACTGTCACTCAACCTTCCAGCAAGTGAACCCACACTTACACTGTCCTTAAGGTCATTTCTCTGCCTTCCTACAAAAGGGCTTGCCCGCTGTCCTCTACTATAAACGAGCTTCTCAAGCCACCATCCTCCACGGCCAGAGTGGAGCTGTCAGCTCCATCCTTGACAGGCCACCTGCCTACGCGGTGACAGGCGAGGTGCTGTACAAAGCCTGAGATTCCCCAGACCGGTCCAGGTCCCTGACTGAAGTTCCCTTCCCACCCTGAGGGAGAGAAAGGCTTTCCTCCAGCTGACAAGCAGGGTTCATTAGCAGCCGGCTGCCTCTGTCATAGCCTGTCCGTGGCACCTCTGGCCCAGAGGAAAGCTACCCTAACCGCCACCTCCTGGGATGTCTTTGTTGGCTGACTGTATGCACGGGCACACTGGTCTATCAAATGGCAGCTTGTCTTCCGGCTGTGCAGCCTCCCTGCTCCCATGTCCTCTCTCCCTCTTTTCCATTCTCCCCTCTGCGCCTCTGTTCCTGAAACTCTCCACCGCTGGAGAAATTAGACAGATGTCGTTGTTGCAAAAGCCCCATGCAGCTTGGAACTTCTCAGAGCAACCTTAAGATGTGTCCCCTGTGGGTTTCATAACAAGGGACTGCAAACAGGGTGTGGTTAAAGCCATAGTCTGGGTTCTCAAATGTTGTGGATGGAGGTCAGACCAGGCCACACTCACTGAACACCGCCCCTACACCCCACCCTGCCCTCCCTGCCTCCGGATGGCTGTAGGTCCAGGCCAGCGGCAGCGAGTGGCACAGCTCGAGTCTGAGCCTCCGTCTCTACAAACCTTCTTGCCTGAGGCGTAGGCCTCAGCTGTCCCTCTGTACTGGTGGGGACAGTTCCCCCTGGGTTTGGGGCGTACCCTAAATGAAGGTTGAGCTGATTGTGCAAGTAAGCTCACGTTCACAATCCTGGGTGCACATGTGTCAGGGAAGGCCACCTGGAACTCACCCTAGAAGTGCAAGCCTCACTTTTGCTGTGGCAAAGGCATCTGGTATATCCCACAGTCTCTTCAGGGCATCTGAGATGAGGGCGAACTTGAACTCAGGGCAAGTTCACTTAGAGGTCTGCATTGGTTACTTCTCTGTGGTTGACACACCCAACAGAGACAGCCTCAGTTCGGGAGGGGGAGGTTTATATCGGTTCAGGTTTCCAGAGCTCTTATCCCTCATGGCTGGGAAGACACAAGTGGGAGCCGCCCACTCATGACTGCAGAGGTTGGTGACGTCGTCTGTTCACACCAGTGCACACCAGGGTCAGGAAGAACACACCTGAACCAAGGAAAGATTTAGCCTTCAAAAGCCACCTATAGTGAGATACTTCAGTCTGTCAGGCCTCATGGCCCAATGGCTCCATAACCTTCAAAGTAGGGCCACAAGCTGGATGGGCCCAGGAGCTCAAAATGTTGAGCCTGAAAGGGCTATTTCCAATTCACATCACCACACACTGCCTCTTGCTAAGAGTGGCTGTTCCCAGTTTACCTGTATATTCTCGGCCTTTGGGTCTCAAGGACTCTGCAGCAGGAAGAAAGAGTTCTGGGCTAACACAGGCACTTAACAGGTATGATGAGGAAGGAGGTGGGTCTCCAGGTCCCCACGATATGGAAGTGAGGACACCGGGGAAATGACATGCTTGCTGTCATTTGAAGACACCTTGTCACTAAGGCATTCTGGAACCTCCCTAAGCTTCTCAGAATCTTCATTTCATCTGGTCCTGGTCAAGGTTCATGGCCGGGACCAGCATATCTTCCCCTGTGTCTTCTCCACAATTCTGTGCAGAAGTCAGAGCCCTGGTCTCATCCTCCATGCTAGCTGTGTCCTCACAGTGCCTACTGTGTGTCCAGCACCACAGTGGGCTAGGTGTTCTCAACCAGTCCACATGTGGGAAGTACAGAACTGTTACAGCTTGGGTCCTGGCCTTTCTGAGTGACAGGAAGTTAGTCACTGGAGGGCACACCCTTGAAGGGGCCATTGGGGTTCCAGCCCTTTCCTGCCTTTTCTTTTGCTGCTTGACTTCTATAGGTTGAGTAACCACCTCCACCAAGTTCCCACCACAGTGTTCCAAAGCACCAGGAAGTTGGGGACTGATACCCCTGAAACCGTGAGCCCACACTAACCTTTCCTCCTCCTCCTTGTTTTCCTCAGGTGTTTTTCACAGGCACAGAAAGATGGCTAACACAGTAACCATCACTCGTGTGTTTTGCACAGATGCAGTTTCCTATTCAATGGGCCAGAATCCTCACAGAAAACCTCAGCGTCATGCCCCACTTAGCATTGAGTGTTCCTCCCATGCACACAATCACCACCACAGAGCCATGTCTAGAGCAAAGTGTTGCCATCTGTACCTTCTATTTTAGAATTAAGATCTCCCAGAAGGAAGAAAGGTAATTTCCTCACTCTATAATTCAAGCATTTATTTATCTATCTACCCATCCACCCATCTATTCACCACCCATCCATTCACTCATTGATCCACAAGTTCCACCCACCCACTCACCTATCCATCCATTCATCTACCCACCACCAACCTACACATCATCCATTTACCTATCCTTCATCCATCCATCCACCCACTCACCCACCCACTCACTCACCCACTCATCTAACTACTCACCCATCCACCCACCAATCCATTTCCTCATTCATCCATCCACTGATTCTCTCAGTGAGTGTTGAGTTTGTTGAAATATTGACCATCAACTGCCAGGCCAGGAACATAAAGGGGCAGAGGTGGGAGGTTGCTCAGAGCAACCTGGAATGACAGAGATGGAACTGTTGACCTTGTGTGTCTAGCACTGAAGTCTTCCCTGAGATATCCCTGGCCTTACAGTTCAGCTCTGCTGAAAAATGGCTCTATTGTAGGAGACCAAGTAGGATTCTGGGCCCCTGGGACCCGTGAGCTGTCACAAGGATGTTGATGGATCTTCTGTCTGCATTCCTTTCCGCCTGTCCCTGGCCAGCTCCATTTGTCACAGCTGGTGTTGGTTTAAAGGGCTGTGAGCTGTTGCATGTGGGTGATTGATCCCCCAGCTGGCTCACCAGCACATCCAGATCAACATCCATTACCCCACCAATGGAACTTCTCTCCTTGCGAAATAAGAAAAATGAGCTCTGCCCATTAATTTTAGTGGATGTACTATTCCTGGCAACTCCAGGCGCCATTGTGGAGGAAAGAATATTCTGGCTCTAAATCACTCAAGTTCCTTTGTCATCGGGGTACAAGACAGCCTGCCTCTAAATTTATATTCTGTTGGTTTTAGTTGTCACAGAGCCCAGGAGAACCGACCTGGTCCCTGGACAGTGTCTAGGGAAGTTGTGGGCTGATGGTGGGCTTCACGGACCTTGCTCTCCCACCTCAGCACTGAGACCTACCACCTTCTTACTTAACTGACCTCGTGCCTTTGCCTGCGACCACCTCAGCAACTCAGAGCTGGTGTCAGGTGGCCCGGCTCCTACACAGTGCAGGGCTCACCTGTTCCTTATCAGCACCTGCACTCTCGTCTTGCCGTGCAGATTGGGTTCACTTGCTGTGGAGAAGGTTAGTCACTGCAGTCTGGCATCGGCCAGATGTCTCCGTGGGTAAAGGTGCTGGGCAGCAGTGTTGATGGCCTGAGTTTGATTCCCACATGATGGAAGAAGGAGCTAACTCCATCTTACTTAGTATTTAGAAAGACCTAGAGAATGACTGCTGGGTGCCCGGCCCTACCCTATCCCTGAGAAAGAGACTGGCAGCAGGGCTGCAAGCCTAACTCTGTAGCCGTCTTCCCATCCCGTCTTTCCCATCCTAGACCCTTCCCCCGTGTGCCAATGAGTGACAAGCTGCCTCCCCTCCCCAACTCTCCTCCCGCTGTTACTCATGGAACTTTCTTACTTGCAGAGGAGATCAAAGTGATCCTATTGGGCTTTTATAAGTTACCAAAAAATGGATGTCATAAAACAAAAAAGACCCATTACGTCCTAGCTCAAGAGACCAGAAGTCTGAAATCCAAGTATTGGCAAGGCCACCACACCCTGTAGATTCCAAGAGAGACTTGTGCTCTGATCCATAGTCTGGTGGCTTCAGGGGACCTTGGCAGGTGGCTGCACCAGCTGGTCTCCACGTGTGTCC